AAAGGAAGCCAAAAACCTTGTCATGAGAGCCGTTTCAGCTTGGTATTACTCCTATTGGTATTCACAGTCACGTCCAATTCGTAACCGGTGACTGCTAATCTCAGCGTTTAACGAACCATGGAACCATAAATACATAAATCAACGTCGAAAGCACGTAGTTTGCATTGCAATACTCTGGTCACCGTATAGGATAATTCCATGCATAAGCACGATGTAATACTCTCTTACAAAACAAATTCAATATTTAACGCTTAATCTAAATATTATCTTGGAGCAGGTATTCTGGAGAAATGGATTTCAAGATTTGTTTGCACGTGTTTACGTAGCTGTTCCTTTAATGTAAAATGTATGTATCAAGTATAGAGGATTAAGGATTCGTTCATGTTTGTCATTCTTCAGGTTAGTAGGCCTGCTAAGTTCATAGTCTATGACCCCATTTTCAGAGATTAGATCGGTCTTCTTTAGATCGACCTAACTCCCTGGTGGTTCACGCTAAATAGCTGTCAGCCGAGCGGACACGAAAGTTAATAACCCCCTTACAGCTTGCAGTAGGCGGGACGGACATTTAAGCCGGATTATCTGACAGTAATCTAGTGAGACTCCCCGCGGGGATAGATCGATCTAAAAGCTCTGGGAATACGGCCTATTTCTACCATGTTACAATGTTATATCTACAGCGTGCCTTTTATTTGGTGAAAGGAAGCGTGAAACAAATTATAAAATAGTACTTTGAATGAGCTGAAATGGTCGTAATACAAAAATATAAACAAAATAATACACTTTTATCTTTAGAATAAACTTAGACACACACAACTTTAAAAAGAAAAAACTTAAATAGCTTCAATAACAAAATACCCCCTAACAGGTTTATATATATATTTTTTTCCACTATATTGCAAAAAAGTAAGGTCATATGCAGTTATCAAACCACACCACATCAGGTTTTATTGTGAGCCAGCTGATTATTGTTCGCTATAGGCCTAGATGATGTCATTTTAGCTCTAGCGACGTCTTATATCGATTTTTCTTTAATTAACCACGACGTATATCTCGCATTCCGTTATGTTGATTCTATCCCCATAATTACGATTTCAGGCAGATGGAGTAGTTAATAACGCAATTAATTAAACTCCTACCGCCGGTCAGGCGTATAGCAACTACTGTAAGGCGGTCTGGTGGCTCTTCATTTTCGCAAAGGAACCGAAAATAGAATGGGGCTAAGATACTGGATTAAGACAGACTTTGACAGCGCTGTCAGTATCTGTGCATCACACGTAAGCTGCCCCTAAATCATTTATTTAAAAAACAACAACTTTTTTCAAACTCGTTTTACAGGCTTAAGCTATCACTTCTTAAGCTATGACTTCTAGGAAACATATTTTTTCTAAAGCACAACTAAGAAGGCACAAACAATTCCAAGAACGTCCCAGCATGTCATCCAACTGACTGCATCTTAGCCAACATTGCTAGGACGTCTCATCTGCAGAACATTTGTCTGAACTCGTGAACAAATCAGCGGCCAGATTGATTATTTAAAGGGAGAGGGGATGAAGTATGTATGTAGCGGTAAAGTTCAGAGAGACGGCAAAATATGCTTGCATTTGTCATATTCCGCTTAATGTAGTGTTTCTTTTTCTTTTCTTTTCTTTTCTTTCTTTCTTTCTTTTTTGAGGCGCGGGGGGGGGGGGGGGGGGGGGGGGGGGGGGGGCGCTCAAAAGATAATATATACATGAAGCTACCCTCCCCCTCCTTCTCGGAGTCGTGTTCACTCTGTAGATTATATTAGAAAGGCACTATGACTGTACTAAGCGTGGTACACAGGAGTGGAAAATAGCTTTGTTTTCGTACGGCTTCGTTAGTAATACATGTTTCTTTTCCTTTTTTCCCTTCTTTTCTTTTTTTTTTTTTTTTTTTTTGGGGGGGGGGGATAACTGGGTGGGTCAAAAGTTAACAACGGGCCCCCTCTCCCTGTGTAGATGTTTCTACAACGGAACGCTATAGACATCTCACTTAACCAGAGACTTACGCTGGATACTAAAGATCTTAACCTGAAATGATTCCCTTGGCGTCCCATGCTCGTTATACAGCTTTTTTTCTCGCATCTCAAGTAGACGATATATTGTTCTTTAACAAAAGAACTGATGGGACAAAGCCTTGAGCTATCATCGAGGCATTTAATATATTATATCGACCGATTTAATTTCTTATCAGGGGGATTACCAGAGGCATTCGTCGTTTGAGCCTCTACCAGGATGGCAGATTGTACAGGGAAAAAAAAAAAAAAACATAGTTAAAGGACCGTCTCTTTATCTGAAGATATTATATTCTGTAAAAAGCCAATCTATGGCCCTGGTAGAGGGTAATATAATCATGTCGTGCATTTTTGTTATTCTATTATCTTCACCCGTTATAGTGGACACTACGTTATTTGTTCGCTGTCCTGTTTAAAACAAACTTATTTAGGAGAGAATTGGGGTGCAAATTTAAGATTGTTTTTTATTCTTTAGCTTCATTTCATCTATGACGATGTAGGCACCAAGGAAGTATGGTTAACTTGGAGTAAAACGAAGACGGTTGGTGCACCGCCGTGGATTATTTATCGTGGCGAAAAGTCTCCTATTATCGAAAGTCAACATGGCTCTAATCAGCCATGTATTGTGTTGTTTTGTTATGTACATATCAGCCGTATATATTACTTTAAATTCACGTTAACGTACTACCGTCCGAGCAGGAGAACGATCTGAGATCGTGGCACCGACTGAGCAAGGCGACGATCCGAGATCGTGACATCATCGAACAGAATTATTAGCGCTCAAACTGCATATAAAGGCAATTTTATTTTTTGATCACGCGTATGAAGTCCACCAATCAAAACAGATGTACCGATGTTAAACTATAACTAATCAAATCAATGGTTAATTTGTCTGATTCAGTAACAAAACTGTTAAGTAACAAAACTGTAATAAGCGCTTCGTCTGTTCCAGCACTAAGGGTTACATTAACGTTATTTTGTCAATTATCCAAGTATTGAAGGGGATTAAGCACAGTTAATCTCACCTTGAATTAACAGTACGTGAGTTTTAAACAAACTTTCATGTGATCACCCATCCATCAAGCGACAAATGTATCGTAATATAGGTATTTTGCTCTCAATGAAGTAATTCACGGTTCACATGTCGAATACACTGAATTAAGACAAATCAACCGTTTGATACAACTCCCCATATTTCAACTGTGACTAAGAGAAGGTAATCTGAATTCACGTACCCGTATGTTTTAAGTGCTGTTAGTGAGTGAAGGAAGATGTCACTCAGTGAACATGTATCACTATAAAATATTCACATTGATTGTTCGTTCACTTTTGCACTTTTGTAGTTCAAACTACAAACTCCACATGTTCCTAAATGTGAGAGAAAGGGGCTGGAATAGAGCCTTCTGTGTGGATTATGTTGGTAAAGATAAAATAGTAAAAGTGGAAAATGTAACAATTTTATGTGAGAAAATAGGGCCGGTGTAACGTGACAGAGAGCCCCCATGGCAGAGAATCCGCTTCCCGTTCATTTTAAAGGTGCCTCGCCCTAGATTTTGACCAACTTAGGACAGGCTCACCCTAACCATGATAACTATATGGAGGGCGGGCTTTCTGTTACACGGACCCTCAGTTACGTTAAGCCGTGGAGGGGGCTTGTTTGGTTTCATTTCGTTCATCGAGGACGGAGAAGGGGGACCTCCGACACTAAACGCTGTTGAGGAAGGACTGTGATTAGGTTGTCTCTCGTCCAATTTATTTCATTCGCCCCCCCCCCCCCGTATTTATGGGCATAAACTTCCGTATATTCCAGACAAACACCTAGATACGCTCGTGACCATCAAGTCCTTATCTTCGTTCTTGAGCCTTACCTCTCTCTACTCATTTAAACGCAGTTTATGCGACTTCTGTGGAATTCTTTTATCTTATATGCACTGTTCAGAATTTGTAAGTTAAAGGGCATTGATCTTTTCAGTAAATCTTAATAAATATCACGAAAACATTCTTGATGAAGATAGCTGATTCATGTCAGTCGCGGAAAGCGGGTGTGGTGTTTGTTTAAAACTTGGAGCCATAGTGATTACTTTCCTTTTTTAAACAGTTACTGCCAGAAAAGACATGTAAAAGGTATGGCAAAAGTTATGAATAGTGATTCTTGTCATCAATCGGTTTTGTAGGAAACAAAAAAAAAAAAAAAAAAAAAAAAAGGATTTTACAGAAATAAAGTATTAGAATTTGCTCTAAATAAAGTTTAGCAGTTATCGCCATGCAATGAATATCTTCTGAAAAATGGTAAACTTATAGAAATAGAATATTCGAAAGTATCATCATTATTAGAAGATAAAGATTAATCTATTGCCGCACGTGTCCACCTTATTAGTAGGTGAAGAATTCCCCAATGCTTCTTTCTTATTCTTCGTATTTCCACATTTTTCCAGTATTTCCACAGTTAACAACAGGACAACGGTTTCCATCAATATATTTTGTAATTTATATAATATCTATCACGCCATAACAAACGCACATAGACAATGGCATATTGTTATTTCGATGTACATAAGTATATGTGCTATATGTGTATTGCCTTATAAAGCAACATACACAAATCAGTACATTTTAAGGTACATATGACAAGTTTGTCAACGCATATTAATGATAAAGTACTATACTTAAGTAAATGGATGGGCCAATACATCACTAAAGAATGTATAATCGATGGAGAAAGCTCGTGTGTCCGTATTTCACGATAGGGAGCTACAGTTTAGACATTCTGTAAATTTGGAGAAGAAACACGATACGAAATTGATTATTTCCAATACTTTACTTACACGCATACACCCCTCCCCCCATTTGCTTCTTTTGTGAAAATATTCTCGTTTCGACTTTGCAACAATAAATAAATAAATAAATAAATAAATAAATAAATAAGTAAATAAATAAAAATAAGAATAAAAATAATGTATACAAAATGTATTCTGCTCCACATCTTACAATAATTATGCCAATATAGGTCAATGTTACCAAAACGTCACAGAATCTGACATGAATTTAGTATCATATGCAAGAACAAAACGGAACACATACGTTAACTGACAGCCGCCTAATACAGTATACTTTCAAGGAATATATTTCCACACGAAACAGAATACTCAGCTTCATTGCAGTAAACAAAAGAAACATCATAATGACCAATGTGTTTGGTATTGTTCTTCGTGTTACTCTCAGCAGTGCGTGAGATGCGTGTTCTTGCAATTTCCTCTTGCATTTCTCCTTCTCGCAAAAATTTGTTTCAAGTCTTGTCTAAATTTCTTATTCATGAACGAATAAATTACTGGATTGGCCATATTGTTTATAAAGTAACAATAGAATATATAGATTTTATATTTAACAGCACCATTCGCCATTAAAGCTGCGGGGAGATAAGTCACTACAAACACTAGCGTGACCACAAAAAGCATCATTGCAATTTTTATATTAGCTTTAAGGTACATCTCTCTAGATATTTTCTTCTCGAGTCTCTTCACGTCATTCACATCACTGTTTATTCTTTCTCGGCGAGGTTTCCTCTTTTTTGAGGGCGTGTCGGTTTTTGGCGATTCAAGCGGTATTGGTGGTGCCAATAAATTGATTGTGGGTTCCTCATGCATGATGGGGACGTCATGCACCCCACGTGTTTCGCACGTGTGTCCATTGGCACCAGCGTGCGGAGATTGGTCACCTCTGTCGTCTGCTTCGTTGCCGTTCAAGCTGGTAGCGCGGGGCATCATAGACGCACGTGCTTTTTGGCTACCCAACAGCTTCGATCTGCGCCAATTGTGCTTCTGCACGCTTATGAAAAGCAAGAAGTATATGACGCTAATAATAAGGAACACCACCGCATACAAAGACGCATGGACTTTTCTGTATATCGGTTTAAAGCCTTCCCCAAGCAATGCCGTATCCGAGATACACGTTCCCCTTGGTGCAGCGTCAGAGGGATTCAAAAACGTCTCGTTCACACTAGGAGAATAGATTTCTGGGAGCTGTTCGTACTCCAAAGTCTCAATTTCACATAGCGTTTCATTACATTTTTGCAAGTAGACTGTCCCTGCTGCAGCTTTGTAACACAGTGCTGTCATTATGCCCATGATTGAAGCAAGCGCTCCAAGAACAGCCACAGCAATCTTGACTTGTCCTATGGTGATTTTATTCCTCGTTGGATGACAGATACAAATATACCGGTCTATAGCTATAGCGGCCATTACAAAAGCTGACATGGGGATCGTCGACGTGACTAAAAATTGGTAGAACTTACACAGAAAGTCCACGAGCAGTCTGTACCGCGTGTACTCAACGACGATAGTAAAAGGCACCACAATCGCACAGGACAGCAGGTCAATGACGGCCAGGGTGATGATAAACACCCTCGTGCTCGTGTTCTCCTTCTTGCGTCCGTACACGTAGAGGACTAGAGCGTTCCCTGCCGTACCTGTGATCATGAAGAGGGCCAGCATACACAGCGTCACGGCCAGCTCTGGTACTGTTGGCCCATTGTCCATCTGCTCCATATCCTGGTCACTCAATGTGAAATTATCCATATTGTATCTTATGTTGAATTCTCAGGTGTCGAAAAGCTCGCCTTTGATAGTGTGGTATTACACTTGCGCCATGCTATCTCTGTCTGTAATGGCTTTCTAATAGCGTTAATATAATTAATATGGTTCTGCGGGTTCTGGGTCGCTTAGTTGGATGGACGTATGACCAGGTGTCAATATACAAAACCTTGTCCAATTAATACGGTTGGCGGGTCTCTGATTTCTGTTGTGCAGAGGCGCTGAAATAAGAAAAAAGAAAAACAATTCAACGTTACTATGAAGCTCCTTTTGTTCCTTCTTAAGTTTTAATTTTTGGACTCAAAAGGAGTCTTACTCTGCGCCTTATTGTATGCGTTCTTAATTAATTTCTCAAATATCCCCCAACAACTCCGATAAGAGTTCTGTGACACGGGAAGCTGTATTTATGGGCATATACATCCGTATATTTCAGATTGATCAGTTAACTGCAAGCATTAACGCACCGCTTTTGCATCCACTTATTTAATATACTCTAGCTGTTCTTGGCCCCACATCCGTAAAGTGCGCTGACTTATTTATTCATAATCCACACATCAAGGACATGTTTCTGTCGCTAGTGCTGGTACCATGTGTATAGAGGTCAGTGGGCAAACCAAGGGCACAGCTGTTTGCGTGGCTAGTGCTTTTGGCCCTTGTAATAACAGGCTTTGTTTAAAAAAAATGCTCAACAAGTCAACCTAAGGCAGACGCGTGATTGCCTTGCTTTCTGGAAATTCCACAGGTCGTGGGCACTTTGATCTGAGTGAGCACGCAATTCGTCTGATAATCCAATATTTCTAAATATATTGGTTTGTATACTTATTGGCTGCTCCAACTGACCCAGTGTTTTGGTGCGCCTTGCTGTATCCAAACAGTGTTATAGGTATTTATTATAGTGATGTACACATAGCACGGATGACGTTCGATAGAATCAATTCGTCTAGAGTCTATGGGTCCATCAGAGCAACTGAAAACGGTTTATTGTCACAGCCCTGTGCCAAAATAACAATCGGATACTCAAACTTGTTCCTGTCTGTTAGATTTTACAACACGTGCATGCTTGCTCTGCAGCAATTGATAAGCTATCAGTTGATTTGTCGGGCCATTTTGGTGGTGTCGATGTTTAGAATGCTATCCTCTCCAAATGTCGCTATAAGTAGTTAGAATGGTTCAGTAAACACTGATGGTCACTCACTGAATAAAGTTATAAATAAACGATAATCAACTGCCGAAGATTTGATCGCATCAGTTACTTGCCGCTTGTGTCAGACCGTTTATACGCAGATAAACATTCAATTATTCAAGAAAGACTTACAGGCATTCAGCCTAACGTTTGGAATGTTACGTACAGAAACCACAAGCTGGATTCGCTGCCGGGCAAAAGTTCGGACAATGTTCTGAAACACTTCAAACACTGACGCGTGGGATGTGTCAAGTGCCTGTGTTCAATTAACCTAAGTGCTTTCTCCCATCACTTCTACACGGCTGCACTTATTGTCCATGTGTTCAGTGCTTACTCTTTAAGAAGCCAATTTGTGTCGTGGATTAAAGTCTTGGCACTTCAATTTGTGCGGTGGTTGCGGAACAGCTCAGGTTCAAACTTGTCCTTACAGGTATAGATATATGGTGGTCAAGACGCATCAGGAGATTAGATGTTAAGTACTTTGTTCTGCGTCCTGCATAGAAAACAATGATTCCTAGTAATAAAGAATTATCCTGTATCCAGGAATACGTTATTTTACGGTGAGGTTTTCGCGTAAAAAAAAACAGTGGATTCAGATGTTTCCTTTTAGATCTCCCAAGTTGACAACGTGCGTCAAATCAACTACGCACTTTGAATAACGGGACACCAAGATTCAGCTTGTCGCCTCCTCGCAAGTATTGAGACCTCTGTGTAGCATGCGCCGGCACTAGATCATTTGTTGTCAACGGGGCTCGATTGAAACATGATCTCGCGTGATGAAGGTCCCTTGTGTCGTCATTAAATATGCAACAGATGTCAGTTCCAGGTCAACCCTTCATATGAGTGTACAGACTATTCGACCAACTGAGAGGAGACCAATTTGGCTGTACTTAAACAAAGCAGAGTCCAGTTATGAACAGGCTGCGAAGGGCGTCCGACGGGGTGATTTAAAATGTATGAATGTAAACGAATGTCTTGCCTTTGGACATAAGACCACAGTACGCAATGCTTCGGTTTCCTGCAGCCGTATCAAACAGCGTTCCTCTTGTGTGTCTCTTTATCTCTGTATGAAATCAGTTAGGTCAAAGGGGGATAAAACAATGACAAAGGTATTGAAATCCTTTTAACTTTTAGTATTATACATATTGTACACGCGTGCGTGTAAAAAACAATGAAAACCCTCAGTTCAAGGCGTTTTTCACCACTGCTTATTACTGAATCCTAGTTTTGATCTTTAAAAGATTGATCGGAGCGTAAATCACAGCCTAGCCTTAATCTTCCCACGAGTTACATGTATTTTCAATTTAGATTATTTGTATTATTCTCTCCCTCTTGTTCTAAAAGTCCGGCTGAGGTAATGGTAATATTTGCTTTCAAAATCAATGCGTGTTCCTCGAGGCGAGGTTCAAAATGAATGACTTGGATTTGTTCTAGTTTCAGCGGGTGTCAGTGACTGTTACTCCTTAAACACAGAGTGAATAATATAGCGTTCTAGGTAGAAAATGTCTATTGGGTCCTTAGCTTTTTTAATGAAAGTCTTTCAGTGCCACGTACGCCTATACATTGGTTAGAAGAAATCGGCACAATATCCCTTTGAAGACTGTTGTTCAGTGTACAGATGGCGACTGTTGTTCCTTTGTAACAAACCCAATGCTTTCACAACAAAGAATAATCAACGTATCAGATTCATAAAATCGTTAAATCCCACGTTTAGTACGTGATGTTTCTTTGTGTAGAGTACTCTGCAGAAACTCTTACCATTTGCTTAAGTTGGATGCGTGCTTGCGCCAGATACGAAAACCAATTTCCGAGCAATCTTGGCCACTCCAACAGTCCCTGATTTTCAGATGAAGGAGTACTGGAGGGCTAAAGTAGCACGATCCTCTCTTACAAATGCCACCAAGAACAAATATAGTCAGCTTCTATTTGTTGTCCTTATGTCAGATGCCAACTTCAATATTTGAACAAGTTAGAGAGATAAACGTCCCCAATTAACGTTTGTTCGATCTTCTTTGAAACGGCGAGTAACTCCAGGCAAGGTTTTCTTATTGGCACAGTTGCACTAAGTATAATTGTTTGTAAGTAAAAACTTGAAGAACTGTGTCCTTAGTTCAAATGGATGTATAAATTCGTATCCCTCCTTCTTTTCTAGGTTGAAAATCTATAAGTTAATTGTAAGATAAAGTCCAGTGTTCCAGGCTTATAATGCTTGCCGTTGTACTCTACTGGTATATATACGCGGCTTGCTCGCTTCTTACGTAAATAACTTAGTGATAATTGACAGGTGGGTACTTCCAGACAAAAGGGTATTGTCCCTGCTTCACCGCAAATGGGAATGGCGGTCTTTAATGAGCACTTAAAATCTCTATTCTCCGATTAACCAATTGTTCCTCATGAAAACAGAATAATTCCGAGAGTTGGGGAACTCTGCTGACTTCGTTAAGTGACACTGATTCCGTATTTGTGAAGAATATTGTGTCAAATGAAAACGCTGATGCTTAAGTATTGGTATTGGTAATAGATACGACCTCCTTTTGAAAAACAATTAAGCCTTTGTCGTCGTAAACTCAGTCATTGTCTTACAAACACAATATCCTCATTATCTAAGAAAAGGTTATTCGCTTGATCAATATTCAAAACGAAAGCCCCATCTGGTACTAACGATGCATACTAGTATCTAGCACGATGTCGTGATACGGGAAAGTATCTTTTGTAAAGAAAAAATATCCACGCAAATGGTAAATACAACGCCCTCGCCACCCCTGAATAAGTACAGTGCGTTTTTGAAAATATGCTATTCCGACAAAAAGTGTGACTAAAGTAACTAAAGCAGTGCGATCCTTACTTATAAATGCCACCCAGAACAAATATAGTCAGCTTAGTGAGAAGCTGTCTCCATACCTGATAATTTACTCACCGATGGATGCTTCCTGATACAAATGGACTTGTTGTATTTTTAGACCAGTTGAAGGTTTTTTTGGCTCTTGCACAGAGGCACCTAATACCGACTCACTTTATTCTCCGCTGCCTGCTGGCGGCCCGGAATCACCCTTCTTTTTTTACCAGTCTTTGTTATTTCACTCGTTGAAAATTGTTCAGATTATCTGCACATTATCTGGTCTTTTTTATCCCTATAATAGACGTGTAAATGTCAATGTCGCAAGGAATAGATTGCTGAGCTATCGTATCATATGATAACAGGTCTCTTGCGTCAGTATAAAAAGCGACAGCACTGGCGGTAGTTTCCGTTTACTTGCTAATGGCGCTAATCAGTAGACTTTGCCAAGTGCGCAGTTGTCACACTTATATCTCTTCACGGTTGTCTTTTTCCCAGGAACCACAAAGGCTTTAAAACAGTGCCAGTAGTGGCTTTCTCCAAGATTATATCTCTTCACGGTTGTCTTTTTCCAAGGAACCACAAAAGCTTGAAAACAGTGCCACCAGTGGCTTTCTTCAAGATTAACGTCTCTGTTTTGCTTCCAGAGAACTACCCCGGAGTTCGTCTTAGAACACAGCCAGCGGACGGCTTCCTGCACTAATGTCTCTGAAACCCTTCAAGCCGTAACCAATCAGGAAACATCAGGCAGAAATCCCGTCTACTGCTCTATGCTTTTATTACAGGCTTTGTTGGCTAAATCCGCGATAATGCAGCGCCTGAATTCATCCGCGAGCAAATTTCCGTTCCTGATTAGCGAATATTTTGTTTTCTTCTATCAAATGACCGAGAGCGAGCGTTGCTATTTTTCTTCCGTTGATGTTCGAATATAAGGAAACATTTTCAACTTAAGATAAAAGCACTGTTCGCATTTGCAACCACGCTGTCCAATCTCGTACTGTCTGGTGTGTCAAAATATATATCCGTAAGAATCTTGAAATGTGTACTTTCGAGATAATGATATTTGCGTCTGCTGCCCAATACTCTCAGTATTTCCAGGTACCACGTGTCGCTGAGACTGATTCTCAAACCGTGGCAGCAGCTTCAACAATAGAATAAGGACTTTACCTGGATAGCAGCCGTCACCATGTTCGCTATCATCCCGGAGTGTATCATCAGGTGAAAATGCACCGATCAACTGTGTTCCTTATGTACATGTATATGCAGTCAAAACGGTGTTTCTGTTAAGACCTGTATTGTATCTAAACACTTTGGAATCTGCCCTATGATTGGCCAATCTCCTGTTGGGCTTTTTTCTTCCTTTCTCTTGTTTGCAGCGTATTTTATTATTTTCTACCGTGGGTGAAAGATCGGTTGATTATTCTTCCTTTAGCGCTTTTATACCATTTGATTTGTCTTCAAAGAATAACCAAATGCCTCTATAATGGACTCTTTCCTGTCACGCTGATGGTGTCTTTATAAGTACAGTCCAATGTTGTTTTCTTTCATAGCCGGCGATATATATATGTGTAATTGTATTTTGTAAATTTGCTGTACTTCCTTTCCTCCAACGGTCTTTGACACTATGTATGTTTCTTTTAAGATGACCTTCAGTGAATTATTCATGTATTTGAAGGGAACTCTGTCCACATGAAGGGACGATTACATTAGTCTTCTTTGCCTCCTGTAAAAATGATGAGATCATTCGTTGTCCAGGGAAAAAATCAGAAAATAAGTTGTTTTGACAGAGTCATGAATAAAATATTTAGTCTTCTTCCTTGGAAATCACTATCTATAAGCAATGTACACTTAGGGGTATCTTAAGCGTTTCACTTAGTATATTACAGATCAAATGTACCATAGCCCGACTTCTTGTTTTCGAGAATATTTGTTCCCACGATGTCACGTGATAGTCGTGATTTCCTCTCAGTAATTTAATATCATATCCAGACACGTTTTGTTCTGTCGTGTCGTTATTTTAAAACCTCCGTTGATTTGTCTTAACCTTGTTGTGAAAACTTGTCACTTCCTCTTGGAAATAGCACCAGTATAATGGTTCATCTACGGTACCAACCTGGCCGCCCGCTGTGTTGAACAACCCAAACACGTCAATGTAAGTGTTCAGCTGATCTCGAAAATTACAGAATGAAAGAGATAGATCAATCCAAATGAAGCACTGGTATTAGGCAGCTCCAAGTAATATGAGTTGCGTAATTGGGGTCTAAGCCCCCGCAAGCAGCTCGGAACGCTGACGACCACGCAATCATTTAAAAACGCAATCTGTTCTTCACTGCGCGACGTACAGTGCAGATACGAGACAGTGGCAATGAATTAGAGTCCAGACGTTTTCATCGATGCATATACATTTAAGTTACCTCTCAATCGTGCAGTTAATATAAAGGACTTATCAATAACACGGTCGATTGTGTGATTTCTATAAAAAATCAACGTGGCTGCTGTCCATTCGCTATGGTGGTGTGAGTTAGCCGCAAGACTGAACAAAACACATTGGCAATACAGCGCAGATTGAGAAAACTGTTGAGGGGCTTTGCTGAGGTGATTTTTTTCAGCTTCGTGACGCGTGTAGACTGCCAAAACAGAATGTGCTAGATGCGCTGCTGTTATGGTTATAGAACTCTTAAATCTGGTGCATTGGGGGAGGCAATTTTCCTTTCGAACCTGGCCTTTTCTCTCAATAAATGTCAAGACGAGGATTTGTTCTTTAAATTCTCATGTGTGGTCTGTCAAGTTAATAGTTCAATGAAATTTGGCAAATTGGAATTAAATCGATTTCGTAACGCCGTTGTCTGCAAAGGAATGAACTTTGGTTTGACGCTGCTAACATTAGTCACCTAATCAATATATATTTTTTGGCTTTCTGTAAGTCCTTTTGAAGGTTATCTTCTTTTGGATAGCACTATTAGCTATAGGTTCTTAGTCCTATCCTTTTGAATCATTCGATAACATTTCGTATGCGATTGCGTGTTATGTGTATTTCCTTCCGGAAAAATGTCCTTCCCTTATACAAATAATTGTTCTTTTCTTTCTCCAATGAATATAAAAATGTCCCACGGTTTCGATAAATCCACCTATAAGTGGTCTGTTAACAGGAACCAACCCGGGTCATTGACGTTCGTGGTGATTTTCTTCAAAATGAGGTTCACTTGTCTCGAACCAGAAGACCAAATCTCTTCCTCAAAAAACTGCTGACAACAGCTCTTCAATTTGAAGTTATTCCCACCAATACATTGGGTATATCTAGAAAGAGAGAGTGAAACGATTATAAATGTACCAAATATTTTCAGGTATTTATGTTCCAACAAACACACAAACGAGTGGATGTAAAAGCAAAATAAATGCAATTTAAGAGGTTATTTCAAACCAGGCCCGTAGCCAGCAATTTCCAAAAAGTGGGGGCCTTTTTGTAGAAAAAGTGGAACCTTTACAATAAAACCTTCGTGTACATTTGTGTACCTAGATCAAATTTTACCCAGGAAGGATCTATTCCTGACGAAAAGGGCGGTTCTTTCGACACTTCCGAACCCCTCTGGCTACGGGCCTGCAATCATTTCCATAGGGTAGCGACTGGCGTTATTTTCAAATCATCCATGAAATATCTTATCAATGCCAAATACAAATGAAAAAAAAAGTTCTTCTGCTCTGTTAACATCGGCCAGTGACTTTCATGATCGAGAAGATACCACAGCCGGTTGCTCTTATCGGAAGTGACATCCTGTGTCTTCCCTGTTTCCTTTATATGTCATTCACTTCCCATGAAGAAATCATGAGCAAAAGAGCATATTTTTCGTATGCCTATTATCACGTTTAAAATAATTAACAAGAGTGGCAATTACATGCAAAACAACATTAAGATATCTGAGGAATACTGACATTCCAGATTTCACGTACGAATTGTTGTTTTTGTTCAGTAGGTCTGCGCTGTAGGCAGCGCTCACGGCTGTTTGCGTTTCTTTAATGACATAATGCCTTTCCAATGTTACGTTTTAGATTTTAGCTGGAAATGTACTGCGGCTAACCCATGCATACACTCATTGACTCGTGCACTAAGAGTTCAATGCATTGAGAGAGAAAGAGAAAAGGAAGGAGAGGAGAACAGAGAGAGAGAGAGAGAGAGAGAGACTACAAAATCATTTAATGGCTAGAAATCGTTGACTTGACTGTTATTTTCATAGAACTAAGTATGGTGTTTGGCTTAATAATTAATAATCCACATAATGAGTCGTTCTTTCATGAAATAAAATGCATTATTTTCAAACAACCATTGGTGAAAGCAGTGCCATAGCAACATTTAGCGACAATTCTTTGAATGAAACCTTAAAATAATCCCACCAAGGAGTAAACAACGTCAAGAGTAACGATGCGCTACATATGCGACACAGTGGAACAGGGATGCTGCTAGACATCGATTTTAACAGCCACGAGTTTCCATCGAACTACAACGCTCTTGATCGAGAAGATATATTCCACAGCCGGTTGCTCTTATTTAAGGCGACATTTTGTCTCTGCCTTAGCAGATTCCATAATGTTATTAAGTTTCTCTGAAGACCTTGAAAGAGGACGATTTTCCGATTGTCTGTTATTACGTTCAAACCAATTACAACTTGTGACAGTGTGTTTTTTTCACATTTAAGGCTACATGCACCCGTTTCGAGGAATGGGTCTAACAGAAGCCTGTCATCTTTAAGGGCGGTTTTCAGATCAGAGGAGATACATACACAGTCCGACATAAAACATCGTTTATACAATTTATTTCTGCATAAATGTATCCGTCCCATGACAGTGCAACTTTATTAAAATTAAATCAAAAGTGTACAATGAGTACTGTTGGTTTGGATGGAGAGAGAGCGAGAGAGAGAGAGCGAGGGAGAGAGAGAGCGAGGGAGAGAAAGAGAGAGCGAGGGAGAGAGAGCGAGAGAGAGCGAGAGCGAGGGAGAGCGAGAGAGAGAGAGAGCGTGCGAGAGAGAGCGAGAGAGAGAGCGAGAGAGAGAGCGAGGGAGAGAGAGAGAGAGAGAGCGAGAGAGAGCGAGAGCGAGAGAGCGAGAGAGAGAGAGGGAGAGCGAGAGAGAGAAGGGGGAGAAGGAGAGAGACAAAGGAAAACAGTTTAGCAGTAGTATAACATGCCGTTATTTTCTGGAATCTATTCAGAAACGGTTTATTATTCCTGGTCCCTTCGCGCACACAGGAATCTCTGTTGAAACAGTCCCAATGGCTAGCGACACGTCTCTTAATCAATATTACATGTATATCAGAAACAGTTCAACAAATAAAGCCCATTAGATCAATAATAGTAAGCTACACATGCGGTTAAAATAAACTAATAAGCTTCTTGGCATTCTTTTTAACAACTAAAAGATAATCTTGTTCTTCTAATCAGTTCCGTCTGGTTTATCATCAGGGTTGCAGAACCCAATCGAAACGGATGAGATTGAAACGAGCTGAGTGCTCAGTAAACACAGATTTTTCCAATCTCAATGAATAAAAGAGGAGTCCTTGATTGATTACACCGATGTAGAATATGACCCCATAATAGACGGCGTGGGAGACAAACTAATGTTTATAATTGCCAATAAAGGTCATGGCTTAGATCCTACATTGATTTTGATTATTTCTGTGCTGTTTTGCCTCGGTCCATTACCCTGCTGTAGTTTCATTCAGAAAATGCCAGGAATGAAATACCACATTTTGCCAAATCAGAGATTTGATCTTCCTTCGAAATGATAGAAAATATAAGATATCACCGTCATTGATTTTGATCTGTTTGTATGGGATGATTGGTATGTTATCAAATTCAGTAAAATAGTCATCAGGTCCGTTTGTAATGGAATATCAAAAAATTAGGGTTGACTTTTTATAATTATGTACGTTTATCAAACGATTTTCATGTTTGTCAAAAGCTTGGGTTGATGACCAGAAGACTTAATACATATATAATCGGTTAGTCTATTTTATTTTGGTTACTGTTTTGTCGACGGTAAAGATAAACTGACGTCGGTCGAGTATTGGCATAGATTACTAACAATGCTACAATCTAACAGGAGTCATTTCTTGTTATTGTTTCAAAAACACGCAAATTTGAATATAGACGTCATTCTGTCGGTCGTTCTCATGTGGATATAGTTACAGTAAAATCTTGTCAATAAGTCCAAATTTCATGTTGAATATTATCGCACATTTACTTCCGCAGTGCATTTATTCATGGAATGTTCCGTCTGCTGTAATTGGCGGCTCTCATATAGAAGAAAGCTTATAAACATAAGTGGAACACTTTGTCACAGTGCACTACCTATTATTGGAGGTGATATTACATTGAAGGGGGGGGGGAGTGGAGGGGGACAAGAAGGTCCCATGGGGGGGGGGGGAGGGCTAGTGATCATAGTTTAAGAGACATAAAATCATCAAATCAAAGTTCACCGTTCCGCTTGTTAACATCACCGGGTATAATGGCCTCATTTCACGAAGGACGGAGAAAAAAAGCCGCATTCAGGAGTCACGATAACTGGGTGCTTCACCGATCACAGTAAGTAATATGACATTTCACGCATCTCGCGAAATGATATATAGTGTCTTTCACGGATAAAGAAAATATACAACCCACATAAAAGTGACTCAAAAAACGAAGTCAGGCATATAAAAAGTCCCTATTGACCCGCATCCCCTTCTGTCTCTTCCCTCGTAGACATCAGAAGAGTTATTAAAAAAAACTAAAAAAAATCTGTTGCCAGATGGAGATCTTGCTGCGAAAGACGATGCCGAAACTGTCTAAAGCTGCGTTATATTAAAAGCCTTCACCATAGGAACGTCTTGGAGACTAATAATGTCGATTTCATGTGCACATTTGATGGCGCTCACGATTCATTATTTCTGCGATTTTAGTCTTCGGTGTGGACAGGCAGAATGTGCTTATAATGGTTTCATATTACCTCCGCCATCAAAAGGGTTATGTTTTATCGGTGTTGTATTGTATGTTTGTGGGCAAGATGTCTCAAAAGCTCATCATAAATTTTGATGAAATTATCAGGTATAGATAGTTATCCAGAGTTAAACAAATCGATTGCAATTCCAATCGAATCCATTTTTGTTTATTTTTTTATTTATTACATTTTGTCGCCGTTATATTGACCTTTGTAAATAATTGTCCCTTTTCGTTATCTGGCAAACTACAAACTGACATGCAAGTACACATAACGGGTACAACAGGGTTGTTTTCCCCGCCTGTATCTACTTCACTGAGCCTGTATTGGGCAGATTTAATCTTTCCCCTCTATATCAATATCTCCCGGCGTATCTGTACCTGCTTCTCTCCGAACAAAATGATTCCTGATAAGATCGGGACAGTAAAGTTCCCTCTGTTACCCAACTGTTAATAACAAATCCAATAAAGGAACGGAAGGCCGAGATCCGCTATCTATAATCCTGACAGGGCAAATCTTATTAAAGAGAGCAAGAATGAAGACAGGGAAGATACTTCGACCCACGCTCAATGAAAAAAGACAAAGAGAGCTAATCGTACAATTAGCTCTTTGGGGAAGTGCAGGATTAGATTTACCTTTGTGGTTAGTATAATGGAATTACATGTACTTCACGTATTGTCGCTTGACCTTGCCAATCAGATATTTTTGCTAAACACATGTCTGGTCTTAGTTTTTTTTGTAAACAAAAATTTTCATTGCGGGTACTTGTGTCGCCTAGTTAAAAATCTACTGAAGAAAAAAATCTTGTGTTCTTCCTTGAATATGACAAGACTTTTTATACATCATTCAACAATGCTCATCACCTAAAATAAAAAACTGTAAAGAAAAAAATGTCAGTGGAAGGGGGGATTGCAATTACAAAACTATTATTGAGTTCAAATCATAAAGAGTGTCGTTTCACTTGGTGGAATAGTTTATGTCTTGTTTATTTTTCTTTATCTTTCAATTCTCCGACCTCAAATAAAATAAAGAAAAAAGTTCCCAGACATTGCAACAAGTAAATATGGCACCTTAGCACATTGACTGCCCTATACCAGTTATCAATAATGTTGATCCGCATAGCTAGTCTCAGTATATCTCAGCAATTATAAATTTAAATGAGTAAATGAGTAAAAAAATACTAAAAAAGAAAACAAACATCAAATTGGAGTCTTCAGTTCTTTATAACCTTGGCCCACAACAGGGATTTTTTTCTTAAAAATAAAGCAGAAACAAGT